TCCATAGGTTGTTTTTTCATTCCATATAATGGAATAAGAAATGAGGATTTCTTACTGCACCCTATATGTTCTTAGGCACCACACAAAATCCAAAAACACCCAGTTTTCAAAGATGCATCTTCGGACACACCCCAACACACACTCAACAAAGCCTATTCTGAATTACGCCCTATTTTTTGGTTTATTTTATTTCGGAGATGCATCTCCAAAATGTTTCCGTAGTTACATTTTCGTAACGCAGACACATCAGTAACAGAGTCAAAACCATGTAATTTTTCAAAATGAAATTAAGATTCATAAAATAAAATTAGGATTACATAGATCATTTCAATATAAAATGCAACATTACTTAAATATCCAGGTGGACTTTCAATATCTTTGCATTATCTTCTAACGATCTTGAAATCATCGCTTCTAACTCGAGCGAAACTTTTGTTTCAAAACAAAAATATGTATTTCACATAGCTCTTACATATGCTTGCGTTTTGAGCTAAAATTTGTTGAACTTAATCTTCCCTCTATTGTCAATAGACGGTGAACGGTACTTGAGCTTCACAATCCTTTTATTTTCTTTGTAAGGTAGGATATTATGGATTATGTTTTCGATATTTTCGAGGGAGGTGAAATCGGTGAGCTTAAACGTTCGCCCGAGTGTAGAGCTGGAGAAGGAGATATTTGCGACATACCAGTTGATATTTATTTGTGACATTTGAGACATTTTCAGATTGTATGAAATATAGCATAAGAGCACCTTAATTTATAGAAGTCATTGATCAATATGGACCGGTCAATAACTGGCATGTCGATTATGAAGATATATCTCTGAATCCGCACCATATTATCTTGTTTCAGAGATGTATCTCCAGAACTTCTCCTGAATCAGTTCCAAAATAGAACCCTTAAAACATAATCGATTTTTTTTTCAAAATAACAAATGTTGTTATGGGGAAGATAAAAGATGAATTAAGACACAATATGAACAAATGTTGAATATATTATACTTCATTTATATTTAGACACAATTACATACACTTAATTGTCCAATTAAACAAGAAACTAAAATGAATAGAAACATTTGTCCCCAGCTAAATCTATGGGTGGTACCCTCATTGATCTTTTGTGCATTTAAGTTTTTTTCAATGTTGTTCAATTTCTCGAATTCTTGCATCCTTCCCATAAAAGGATCCGACCAAATTTCGACTTTTGTGTTTGAATGAGTCGTCCACTCCGGTGATGTAAATGGTATAGGACATCTCGGTTTCTAGTAAACTTGAACAAAATGACTTGATTTTGAAAGTCATCCAATACACATGATATGATCATTTGGATTTGGAGGTGGGCCAGTGCACAGTGGGAAAAAGGTTTCCGAAAAATCGTGTCGTATCAAATTAATACACACTCTATCATATGCAGATGCTTTTAGGTGACCCATTTCAGGGAAGCGCAACTATTTTTCCTACCGGACCGCTAAGGCAAGGAACAAGAGACTCATAAACTTAATCGATTTTTTCTTTTTTTTGTACAACTGTGTGTATGATTCTTTATGTGTCTTCAGCTCTTGGATTAGTTAATGGAAAACAAGTGTATGATTATCTTCTCATTTACCGAGTAAAGCTGAAATTGCTCGATAACTGCAATTATCGTACCCCACAATATTGACAATTTTCTCAATGTATTTAGGCATAAAAAGCGACATCTCGTCGACGAATTGAATTCTTAATGGAGGCGTTGTAAGAGGTAGTTTGCTAATGCGAGCTCTTTTGGCAACACTTTTTTGGTGATTTTGGAGTTGGTGAGTCGGGAAAAACTTTGTCAACATGTTCAAAATATGAAAGAGACCTTGTAGTTGAATTGTCATTTGGTGTAGGGTTCATTTTCTTTGGAGCACCTTTTACTTTTACCGGTTGAGAGGGAGGTTTCATGTTCGTGGTTTCTGGATAGGCAATCTTCCTCGATTGTTCTTTGATGTGGAGTTTCATGTTGTCATCGGTTTTCAAAAATCTCTCTTGTATCACTTCTCATTCGGTCAAAATAGAGATATTTGATTTACCGTCATTCATGACACCATCGTCATCAAACTTAAGTCTCTTCCAATGAATGCAAACCTCATCCATTCTTATTGGGTCACCAAGTTTCACCTTTTTAGCAACAACACAAGCACATGGGATACCATATATTTTCACAATTGTGCATCCACACTTTGCACTATCGGAGCCTACATTATTAGCTCGTTTAGCCTCGTGAAAAATATAATTCAAACTCGCCCGAAAAATGCTACCGACCAATTGAGATTATAGAGTGTTGTCTTTAAACCTATGTTCCAAAATTGTGTTGCTCTGACCAAATGATGTTTGTATCTTATTATGATGGTTTTTGATCATGTGGTTCACGAATTCCAAGTCTTTTCACAAATCTCCCTTACTGTTTCGTCCCTATCGCGGGTTTAACCCGACTTCTCACATTCTTTGTCATGTGATGCCTACAAGGTAATGCATTAGAAGAAGGAAATTTTTTTGCAACCGAATCATCAAGGTTGATCGCAATCGGTAACAATCACTTTAGGCATCTCACTTTGGTCTTTTAACAGTGTCCGACACACCTCTGAGGCCCAAGTAAAATTGTCCTATTTTTCACACTTAAAAAATGCAAAACCAACAGAATATGTCCTCTTTGCAAACATAACACCAAGCATCTCTAATAATAGAAGTCTATACTTGTTGGTATTGTAGGTCGAATCAAGTTTGAGCACCGTAGGAAACATGTTGAACAACTTTATGGAATCAAGATGAGTCCAAAGTATATCTTTAACAATAATTTCATCCTCGCACGTTTGGTACCTAGACACGTAGTTGTTAGTAAGGTATCGAATATTATACACTTGATTGATATTTGATATATTTATGTGTCGTTTCTGTTTCAATGTTGCAAGTATATTTTTCAGTTGAACCAGATTCAATATCATGTCAGCAACGCATTCCTTCCCTTCCAGCATGAGTCGACACCCACTATGATGATCAGCTAATTTTCATACAAATCATGATTATGCAAACCATATATCACATTAAATCTCTAGTTTTTGTTTGCCAACACGTAAACACACACCTTAAACACCCACGTTTTCTTGAACCATCGTCGTCTCTTTTAAAATTCCTGAGAGGAGTTATATATTTCCCGCTTCTTTCGCACGTCATTGTCACAAAAGCGCATCTTCTATCTGAACCATTATTGGAACTTCCAATAACCATACCAAATCCAAGTTTATAGGCCTTTATACGAATCCATTGAAGCATTTGATCACGAGATTCAAACTCTTGCTCGTTTTTAAATTGGTTGCCAATATTTATCACCCTCACTACAACACCTTGGGCATTCAAAGAAACAATTTATTTTGGGAAAACATCAGGGTGCACCATATCTAATGAAAACAATTAAAAGCATAACAGTATATATGTGTCACTGCTGAAAACAGTATTGGAGAATAAACACAGACTACTTCCGAAGATGCATCTTTGGACAAGTTCATACTCGTTCCGGAGATATATTTTTGGATACAATGCTCTTTTTTTAAAGAAAAAAGCTTGATTAATGTGAGCAATGCGGTGGGAAATAAAGGATTTTTACCTGGAATAATATCTTCGTTTGCTCCCTATGACGTGATGGACCAACAGAATGGAGATTTGGAGTGAAAAAGTAGATTGGGAATTGAGGGGTTTTTGGTGAGGGTTTGTGTTGAAAAACAAGAACGAAAACAATAGATGTGTGATCATGCAAGTGTTTCTTTTATCATATTACTCCGGAGATGTTTCTCTAGAAATATGTGACATGCAAAGTTGACAAAAAATTTCAAAATTCCGCCCAAATTTTCAGAGATGTACCTCCGAAATTTCTACTGAACTGATCAATAATTAACATATTATTTGAAATATTTCGGAGATGCATTTCCGAAATAAAAATAATCCAACTGCGTTGAGTGTGTAATAGGTGTGTTCGGAAATACATCTTCGAAAACTAAGAGTGTGTTTGTATGAAAAATTTTAATGAGGGAAAGTAATTTTTTGAGAAAATTTAAAATGACTTGACCAAAATTCATTGTTTGCATAAAAAATGTAGAGAATTGTTAAAATGATGTAAATTTATGAATTATTTTATTCAAGTTAAATTTTAAAGAATTTCAAATGACACCAAAAAGTAAATAATTTGAAGTTACTCATTCACTCTATATAATGCAATTGTTAAATTATTTGTTATTAATTTTTCAAATTTTGCAAGATGGTCCTCATTTTAATGAAAATTTCAAATTCATCCTTAAAATTTTTCAAATATTATAAATAAGTCCCTAAAATTTTACAAACTGTACAATTAGTCCCTTCAAATTTTCAAAAATTGCAAATTAGTGCATATTTTTCAAATTTTAAATTTAGATAAAAAATTATAAAGTTTATGAAAATGACCCTAAAAATTTAACAACGAATCGTTTTAATATTCCATCCATACAAAAAAATTTAAAAACAAATGAATTTCAATTGAATCATTTAAATTGTTGAAAATTTTAAAAAATTCTCAATTATCTCGTCCAAACACTTTTTAAAAACATTTTTAAATTTTCGCCTAGTGTCTAAAAAAAACATAATGGTGCATTAAGAGATCCTCTAAAAAAATTCCCTTCTAATATTGGGTCTGACTGGATTGGGCTGTTTTGATAGCCCAGATGAATTCTGTCCCAAATCAAGTGAACGGGCAGAGACTAACCTAACTGACAAACATACGCTTCTTCGTTTCGCGACACACCCCGGGACGGGCGACTCTATCTCCGGCGACGCAACCATTCTCTCCGTCAACGACCTCTCTAGGTAATCCTTTAACCAACACCTCAGTCCCACTCGCTATTCTTACTGTGATGTGAATTGTTCTATTATCATTGATTTGACATCATTATTACGGATTTCAATTTGATCAATAATTTTGAATGATGATGGAAACAGTGAATCGGTGGTTGGAAGATGAATCAGAATCTGCCGCAATCAAGTTCAAGCGAAGGAAAGGAAGATGATGATTCTTCACTCTCTGAGTTCTTATCTTCCTTAATCGATTATACTCCCACTGTCAGTTTTTACTTCATTCTTCAATTCAGTTTCATTTGAATCTATCCATATATCCATATTAACTTATTAATTACTTTTTTTATTTTATTTATTTTAGATACCTGATGAGTTGGTAGAGCATTTCTTGGCGAAGAGTGGCTTTCAATGTCCTGATGTTAGATTGTGAGTGCCTCTTCTTTTTTGTATTCACCATTTTTATCTCTATTGTTCCATGTTGTTTGTCATTTTAGGTTATCTTGTTTATTATTGAGTGTTAACTGGTTGCATAAATGCATTGTACTACAATGAACTTGAGATTGTTATGAGGATGTTGTGTTGGATTTTATTAATTTGCGAGTGGAATTGAAATTTAATAATTAATGCGATATTGAAAATATAAAGTAAGTGTAGTAGAGATAGAATGTTATGAGGATGTTATGTTGGATATATGGTAAGAATAGACATGATGAAATTAGAAATGACAATATTAGATAGTGTGTTGGGGTAACACCTGTAGTATAAAAGGTTGTGGAAAATAGACTTAGGTGGTTTGGACATGTAGAAAGAAGACATGTAAGTTTTGTGGTAAGGAGAGTAGATTATATGGAGAAGAGTCGAACAGGTAGAGGTAGAGGAAAATCTAGAAAAAATATAAGAGATGTTATTAAGAAAGATCTTGAGATTTACGATTTGGATAGAAATATGGTCTTAGATAGAACATTATGGTGGAAGTTGATTCATCTATCTGACCCCGCATAGTGAAAAAAAAAGGTTTAGTTGTTTGTTGTGATGTTGAAAATATATAAAATAATACTTATTATGGGACATATTTCTTTTGTTAATGTGATACTTAAATAATTAATACGAGAATGAAAGAGTACAAACTTGATGTTCTTGATTTTTGTGCAAGCATGCCTTAGGATAGGACCCTATGCAATCTAAACCTGTTATTTATCATGCTTTCGGGTTTATTCTGTGAGTGTGAGGAGCTTAGGGCTCACAATCTAGTAAATATGCCTTGGGGTAGGATCCTATGCAATCTGAGTGCCTCTGTTCTGAGGGTTTCTACCATCATTTTCAGAGGGTTTATGTTGTATATAATATATAAATATTGGATATTTGTTATTCGAAACAAATATGGATGCATGATATTAGCATTTAGCTGTTTTTTTTTTATTTTTTATGTTATGTTATATTCGTAAGACCTTACTTTGTGTTTAATGTTAATCTTTCTTATACTTTAATTGAAATCCTCTATCCATATGGAAATCTTTTTTGTTTTGTTACATATATGGAATCTTTCTGATCATGCTGCAGTCAGTATATGAAATGAGGGTTGTCAGTTTTAAACCCATTTAATTTATGTTAAAGAATGATGATGTATGCACACTATGGTGTTGCTGAGTTTCTAGGGTTTGTTTTATTTTTCTCTCCACTCTTGGGATTTGTTCGAGATTGTACTCATAGCGGTTCAACATTTCTTCATTTTTTTTGGCCTGGTGTTGTTGAGTGATTTATTTTTACTCAAGTTTGATTCTTAGCTATTGTATTTCTTGTTCATATACCAATATTTCAGGACTAGATTAGTAGCTGTTGCCACTCAGAAATTTGTTGCAGAAGTTGCAGGCGATGCTCTCCAGTATATTCTTCTTGCTCTTTCTTGTAGACAAATCTTAATCTTGTTCTATTTAAACGTATTTTATCTTGAATAACTTCATTGCAGCCAATTATTTGTGTGGGTTGTAAACCTGGGGGAATAATCTTCCATAGAAATCTATTTCTAGTTTCTTGAAAGAATTATTTAACTTTTGGCAAAAACGTCGTTGATGCATGTGGATGAAATCGATGAATGGCTGGTGTAATTTTTTGTTAATTTTATGAATGTATGAACGGCACTTTATAGGATAACATACAACAAAACTCAATCTAATTTATTTGAATAATTGAACTTAATTTTTGTGCTTCTGTTCCCTTCTATTGTAAAGGTTCACTAATCAATGCACACTCAACAATGCAGTTTTTGTGTTTCTATCCCCTTCTTTTGCAAGTGCATAAAAGTCTCTTTATATGCCAGTGTTGTGATTTCACCTGGGGTTATCTTGTAGGCACTGCAAAGCAAGGCAAGCACAAATTCCAAAAGACAAAAGGGACAGGCAACAGAAGGTTGAGTATTTTGACGTATTTAAATCTGGTTTTATCTATTCACGTTCATTGTGTGTCTTTCTAGTCCTGACACTTCATTTTGACAGGATAGGCGCCTAGTTATGACAATGGAAGATCTATCAAAGGCACTTCGTGAGGTAAGAAAGTTGTTTAGATTTAAAAGGGGTAAAATCAATTTATTATTATGAGTGTCATAAGATTTGGAATCTTTTGTTGATATTATTTGTTTACACCCTAAACCCTTTCAAGACCCAAGTCTTAGTTGTTACTTGTCATAGGTGTTTCATAGGTATGACATTTTTGAAAGTCTAGTATGGCCTGTTAGTGTATTTTAATGTCGATTTCATGTTAATGCCTACAAACTAGTACAAACTACAAAAATAAACCACACCAATTGAAGGTTACGAGACATCAGGGTGGAATAAACATGCTAGGATAAGTTTTCTGACACTCGAGTCTGTCCTATTTATCTGATATAGGCTTTTTTTTTATAGTTTCTGAGATCTAATTCTTTATAGAATGACTTGACATAGATGTCTTTTAAAAGCCTATTTTGCAATAAGGTCTTTTAAGTGAGGCTATAATTACCGTAAAATAAGTATGGAGGTTTATGTTTGGTTTCATGTTTGAACAACCAAAAATTGATTAATGTGTAAAATTGATTTTGACATATTTGGTTGCTCTCAAGTAGAATTGGTTTTGCCTCGATAACTGATTCTAACAAGAAGCTGGGATCTGTAGCTTTTGATTCCAAACATGATTATTACATCATTACATTGAAAATTGTTGTTCAAACTCAATTTTATTAAAATTTGTTGTTCAAACATAAATTATTGTCTGTAATTGTCTCAGATCAATGTTATTGCATCAAGCTTATATGCTGGATTAGCTAATAAGATACTGTTAATTTTACATCGATTGTATTGATATGTTAATGTTTCTTTACATTTAAGTCTCTTGTTATCTTTTATGAACAGTATGGCGTGAATATTCGGCACCAAGAATATTACGCCGACAGCCCTACTACTGGAATTGACCCTGCCACTCGAGAAGAATGAGTACTTTCTTATGAACTATTTCAATGTTGCGCCAACTATAGCTCGAAGCTTCCTAAGTACTGCAATTGTACACACTATAACAATGTACTTGTCTTTGTAAAAAACAGATAGAAACGGTGCACTTGTCTAATGGTTCTTTTTCCTTAATGTTGATTGTGTCCTATTTCTTTTCGGCTCAAATCTTTCACATAATATATAGGACCAACAAAATGTATCATATTCCTTGAGTTGGAAATTTAAGAACGGTTTTTCTAGAAACAGAGATGTTGCTCCAATCGTTTCCTTCTAAAGAGAGTGAAAGCATTGCACATGTTAACAGAGGCTCTCAGTTCATTGCTTGAGATACGGCAATGAAGTTTATCTATGCAAATAAATATATGCAAACATAATAACTTAATACGTAACAACGTATATCCTTAATCCTAACATCAACGGTTTCGAATATCACCTACGATGGGTATTAGTTTCTTTCTTATTTTTTGCACAATCGCAACCAGCTTTTAGGTAGGGGTATAAATAGGATAACAGGGATTTATGGGTCTAGTCTACACAGTCTCAGATCAGAATAATTTTTTTTTTTAAATAGAAAATGTCTAGACTTTTTATAAGTCTATTTAGTTAAAAAGATTAGACTTTAGGCCATGAAAAAAAATCTTTTAAGTCTACCAGGCCGATCTATTTAAATAAATATAAATAATTATGTTATGTTTTGTATTTTGAATTCAAATACATAAATAAGTTAGTAAACAAAATTTTAGTCTCATTGATTTTTTTTGTTTGTTAGTCTATTTAAAATAACAGACTTTTATGTAGATTAACAGGTTAACCATGCCTTAGAAAAAGACAGACTCAACCGCCTTAGAAAAAGACAGACTCAGGCCTAAAAATAAGTCTATGACAGGCTGCGGGATAGGCTTATGCTTGGGTTTCAGATTTTTTGGCAAGAAAGGTTTAGGCTTAACAAAGCCTAACTCGACACAACTTATTTTCACCCCTACTTTCAGGTAGCTCTTTCGCCCCGTCATGGTATGACTAATTAATAAATAGCGTATATGAAAGTGATGATATGATGCCCATGTTAGGAACTGTTGTTATTAGTAGTAGGGTGTTGTTTATATATGTGTGTGTGTGTGTGTGCGCGCGCGCGCGCGCGTGTGCGTGCGTGTGTGTGAGAGGGCGAACAATAACTATTTACACCAGATCAGGTTTTTCATTTTCAGAGAAGATTTGGTATTTTAGTAAATATAAATAATAGTATTGTTTTAGTATTTTTATTATATTAAATTTTGTATTTTTATTAATTTATAAATTTGTTAGGAATCATTTATACTTTTATACTGGGAGAAAAAAAGAAGAAATATAAATAACCAATCAGATTCATTACAATATTTATTGACTTGTGTATTGATTTTCGTATTTACATTAATAAGTTTAAAAAGTAATATACAAGAAAGACAAATAGGTCAAGTTCTTACACTTGATATTAAACTCTAGTAATATATTATTATAATATGACTTTTAATACTTTCATTCAAGCCGAAACATGTGTATTAATCATGTTCAATTTACACGCTTCATTCAATATTTTTTAAACAAATTTGTTAGTTGATCTCATGTCCCAACATAGGAAGTGGATATGAGATTGTCTTAAATCTTTTTTTTTTATATAAAGTGACAATCAACCTCAATGGGTTTTGTTCACGAAAAACTTAATTTGATGTAATATGTATGGCAACGTAGTTATCACATCATAATTTCATAGTACATTCATTCCCAAATCTCATATCATCCAATATTTATCTTACCCATGTCAATTCACAAGTAGTTTAAGTCATAACCCTGTATTTTGTTTAAGCATTTAATCTTGATGCTACATTGTGTTTCTTACTTTTTCCAACATACTCTAATCTTTTTCCTTCAAACTAGAGTCTTCAGTGATCTCGGCCATTAAAATATCAACATGTTCGACGAAATTTGCTTCTTTGACCTGCAAATGGTCAGAATCAATATTCATGGGTGATTTGGTTTTGTCTCAAAACTTAAACCTCCAATCTTTCAGAGCGTTTTGTGCAAGATCCCTGAAAAGAACACATTGAGAGGTTGTATGACCTATAAAATTTTGATGTTTGCATAAACTTGTTTCCTTTCTTTGTTCCAATGGTGGTGCCTTTATGCCTTCTAACTCTATGATCTGACCACCAACAACTAAAAGATACAAAATTTCACCACATTTAGTCACATCAAACATATAAGTTTTTGTAATGAATTTTTAATTTTTACTCGGTTCGACAATTTTTTTCCCATTATAAGGTCTTAAAACCTTACAAACATATAGAGGTATTGGCTTTAGTTCTGCCAAATTTACCTCATTTTCTTCAACATATTCAAAGACTATGTCAGATTCATGATTGTTTTCATCTATCTCTGTATAAACAACTTTTTTTATGGTATTTATACAACCTAGTTTTTCCAGCTTTTAACTGTTCGACATGCCTAACCCAATTTGTTAACTAAGCCATATCCCTTAGATATTGAGCATCTAAGTTCTTCCTAATGGAATATTCTAGATACCCAGCAACCATTCAACTAACTCATGTACAAGCACTTGAGTGAAACATCTTGACTTCATGATCATGAACCTATCAAATCATCGCCTATCGATTTAGAGAACTTCCTCTTCACTGATCCTTGTAAATTATTCATGGAACACCTTTTTTAATCAATTCCAATCACATATAAAATTCGGGGGGGGGGGGGGGGGGGGGAAATGGTGAACCATGTGAAGACATTCTTTGTCAAAGAATTAGAATGTACTTCATCTTTAGATTCATTTGGATCACCTACAAACTTAGTGAACTTGTGGTTTTTCAACCCCTTGGGAGCTCAGTCTGCAACACATGCTCAAACAAGGCAGAAACAGAGTTTGGTATTTGAAGGCCTACATTAAGGCCATTTTGGTGTAAGATTTGCTTAACCACATTGGTCATGTTATCCCCCTCCCCCGATTATTTTTTTGGACTCTCATAATCACTTGGCATGCATCTTGATTTCTATAGACCAATATCACCTATGGGCCATTTTGACTTATACGTGCTTTCACTACACCTTTGTACAGGTTGTTCGACTTGCTAGGGTATAAACCGTTATTGCCCTTGATTATTAGGGAGTTCTGAGTTTTGAATTCCCTCAACCGCTTTGGCTTGAGAGATTAGTCGAATATGCGCTAAGGGAGCACCAAATAAATTAGTAATGCAACCAAGTTGATGTGCCAATTCTTAATAAGTATGGCTTGTGTTTTAGATTAGATATTTAAATACAATACCAAATTGTTGTGTAAGTATGTTCACCATCTCATAGTTACTTTCATCCATTTGTTGTCTCATAAATACGAGATAACTAGTGGTTAAGGATGACATTACTTGAGGGATATATCCTAACCCTGCTTGGGGTTGTGCCATTCGACTAAGATTACTTATAGCAGATCCTAGCGCCAAGGATGAATTAAGAGGAGATGCAATGGTCATTACATTATTTGCATGTGTAGATGCACTTCTTTGTAGGTATGTCGTCATTGTAGTTGGCATGTCATATGGATATTCCCTACTTCCAGGGGGTATCGTGAAACTTAGGAGAAAACAACACCTAGGGTCTTTTAGAATTGCTTGTGTGGCCCTAAGACTAATTAGAATACTCATTACTTGTGGTTGGGGAGCCATCACTTCTGGTAATGTCGTCGAAACTGACGTCTAACTTACTAAAAGGGCAGTTACTCCAATGGTTGTTAAGGTACCCACACCACTAACCATCAATTCGGTCGGTTGCTCTTCATTATCTAGAGCATTATTTTAAGAAGATAAATGTTTTTTGGATGTGTCGTTTCAACTAAAGTCTTGCCACTTCTCATATGCATAAAGACTCAAACATTGAAAACATTTTATGAATAACAAAACAAATAATAAGAATAAAAATACTTTCTTGCAAAAATCTAAATTTGTTACAGAAAAGGGTCTCACTGGACGTGTCAATTTGTTTACTACTATTTTTTTGGTAAATCAAATCACAACTTTTTGTTCACTTACAAGATTAAACTCAAAAAGTCCTATGACATATTATGCAAAAGACTTTAGAAAATATGTTTGTGCTTTGAATATTGATGTTTGAATGTAGAAAATTTGGACATAAACTCTAACGAAAATAACACATAATTACTTTGAAAATAAAGTATAAACGAATAACATAATAAAGATCATTAAAGTAAATGCTTCGACATTAAAGAATTAAAAGAAAAGGGCGCAAATTCATACATCTCCTCGCAAACTCGTTTCTCTCTATGACTTGGATACTTAAGTTCTATAGAGAATACTCAATGAATTTCGCAACCCTTATTTACATGACTAAACCTGTCTTATATACTATTATAATGTTAACCGCCGATAACAGTTATCTTTGCAGAACTCGACACGTACTCCCGTACCTAGATTTCAGCCTTCTAGTCTGCTTCTAGTCTGCTTCCGCGTGTCTTCGACATTTCAACTATTTTTACTGTTTCAAACTATTTTTTAAATCTTCTAACTACTTGTGTTGAAGGTTTCATCTATCGAAACCTTGAAGCATATCATATAAATGTTTTAGCTACTTGTACTTAGCCTATGAATTTATCTCATATATTTTTCTAGCATATATGCCAAATCACTATAACCCTTTTCGAGATTCTAAACATGTTTTAAAGATAATGAGTAATCATAATCTTGTAGATCTGTTCCCGAGATTCCTCCAAACTACTCTTGAAAGGTTTCTAGGTTATCTAAATATTTAACTCAAAGATAGATTAAGTCTCGAAACATCTGATAAGCGAGTCAAACTCACCCTTTCAGTCGAAGTTATCACAACGTCCATACTATAACTAGGTTATTTTATACTTAACAATATTATAGAAACACTAAACATAAATTCTCAAGCTAATAATGCGGTATCCTAAGCGGGTAGAGGAAACTCAAGGG